TCACGGATAAATTAAATCCGTTACAGTTAGCATCCACGCGAACTTGATAGCGTTCATAGGAACAGGAGAGTGGCTTTTGCTTGGACCATAAAATTTGCCCCGAAACAAATTTATCAACATTTGTCAATGAGAGTAAAAGGCGCCTCCACTTTGTTGTGCTTAAGCACATTTCGTATGCTTCAGCTGTTATAGCGAAGAGGTGTATATTTTTCATGTTTTAATACCGCAATGCTAACGTAGAGGTTTCATATAAAATAAATAAGAATTTTAATAAACTTTGCCACCACCAATTACCAGGTGTGCCAACGACACTTCTAAACTGGACTGTCTTGTCCTAGCACCTTATGGTTCTGTCCGGCGTCCTTTTGGGCCACTAACTAGATGCGTAATGGAAAAAGATGACAGGTAGATAGGGCGGATACCCTTACTAACCAAAATAATGGGCATACAAGGTGTATACGCCAAGGCAGCTAACAAGCAACTAAGCCCGTATTGTTGTCTAAAGAGCTGAATCGGCGCTATGGTCCGAACTGATACTGCAATGCTCGTTTAATCAGCAGATCTTTAGCAGGATCCAAGGTACTGACAGAGACAAATGATTGGCCCTTTTAAATGTTATGAGATACTACAGAAGTTCGATTTATGTGCAGGTAATGAGGAATTGGTGATTATTGGTGAAATGAGGAAGGTTTTACCTACTTTAAAGAACACCCACCGCATTTCAACCGTCCAAAGTCGCCTAAATTCCGTGGACCTAAAGCATTGAAAAGGACACCTATATATCATCATTCACAATTAATCGCTTGTCATGTCATCAAAGCGTTCTTAGTGAGGAGGTAAAAACTGGCACGTTTAACTCAAATGTCTCGTCCTTAAAAGTATTGCGAATCATTGGACAATGCGAACTGAGGACACGGCTGAGTAGTCACAGAACATGGTACATCGGATTTCCTAGATCGTTATAAGGGTTGAAGAGAAATCAGTGCTTCGCCTACCTCCTGCATATTTTACTATTCATTAACTTCGCAAATGTAGCATCTTTCCTTTACATCATATAAGCTGTGAAATGGTAATATCAACGAAACTGCAAATCGAGGAGCTTAAAACGCAAGCAGAGGCTTACTATACAGGCCAGAATTCAGTCATTTACATTTTGGTTAATACAATGCCTTTCTTGTCCATATTGCTTTTCAGAAATTTCGCTAGGAGAAGATGTAAAATTATCTGAGTCAATGTAGGACCACTTAAGAGATGCAGGTTTGACCCTAATTCTAATTTGTGCCGGGTTTTCTAAGCCTTGGTTAACTTCTAGGGACACTGTTGCTGAAAGGCAGGACTTGATTATGCATAGCTCTGTGGTCTTGTTCTTATGCAAGCATGGATAATTAGCGTTGGTAAGAGGAACTTCGTTCCTTCTGGTAAAGAGAGGTCCGCACATATCCACTGGAGGTGGATACGTTTGCCATAGTGGTTCACTGGAGGCTGTAGGCCAATGCGCCCAACTCTTGCAATGGTGTTGTCTCGTCGAATTGATTGACTTTGCACTGTTTACAGAGGGGAGCAAGAGACAACTTGGTCAAACGAGCATCAACTAACCATTGATGGAGAGCATACAATACTACCTGCCTACTGCAGACACATTCCGCAACTGAAAACCGTATGAGGCAGGTCCTCATCTGCGTCGATGATTGTTGTCACTAACGTCAAGGAATATTGCGGCAAAGTGCCACACCTTGATTACGACACCGAGAAGCTACAAGTGTATTAATAAGCTACATTCTTCTATTAAGGAAAGTCTTTTTGAACTCTCACAGTGTTCCTATTCATACAACAATTAAAAAACTCTCGCCTTCGCTCGGGTCTGACAGACTACCACAATTGGCCGGTGGGATAGAATGGTATTTTAGAAATAAATCCTTCATAAACTTGCATCGAGATTGGATTTGCTTAATTTAGGTCTCCCCTACAGTGTACAGAGTACAGAAGATGTGATAGAGTTAATACACCTCCATACGTTTGGACTGCTGGGAACAGCAAAAGCCGAGGTTGCTTTTAAAAGCACTCGCACGTATCGGCATAGGGGTTGGTATGTCTGCTCTCCCGTAGACTTGGTCCGTCCTACGAGCTGGCATACTTGCCCCTACAGACTCACTTTCTTTCACCTCCTAGCCTCCACCAATTTACTTTTGATTGACACAGCGAAAATAACTCGTCACATACACACAAAAGTGACTCCAGAAGACGGCTGGTGTTGTAGACCACGTCTAGTACGTGTGGTTCCCAAAAGTATCAACTTTTGAAATGGTTGAGGCCTGAAAATGAAAGCTACTGCATTTATCAGTGACGTGGTTGCTGTGATAGGTGGTAGCGATAAAGAACGCCATCTCTGCACGCTCGAGGTCTGCTGCCAACTCGTATCTCATTCCTCCACCACTTTCATGATCTACTTCTGCATTTTACAGTGCCAAGCGACGTACCGTGTGGTAGCGGTGAAGGCAATTCTGCGTTATAAGAACAACCATCTCTGTGGGGC